CCACCCCCCACCCCCGCCCTTTGCATCTTTAGCTGAAAATTTGGTGGGTGGTACCTCGAGGAAATTAAAAAACACGGTTTGGAAACTGCCCGAATATCAACCGTCACCCGGGAGGCGGCTGGGGGGGAGGGGCCTCCTAAACTCCGCAGAACTCAGGTTACTGGGGACTCCGGGGCGCGCGCCGATTGCGGGTCCCGCTCCTTCTGCCCAGGGCTGCTCTTCGCGCAGCGTTCCGGCCCTGTCCCCAGGTGTGCTACTCGCGCAGCCCCACGGAATACGGCTGGGAATCTTGACACCTGGGGAGAGGGCGAAGAACCCCGATTCCACGGGCCGACTGAGGCAGGGTCTGCGCCTCCTTCCTTCCCCGGCCCTCGGTTCATTCTCCCTCGAGTGCACAACGTGGGTATTAGGCCAGGTCTGTTTCAGGGGCTCGGGATAAGAGTGGTGATGAAACTCAAAAGCAAAACACCGAGAGAACCCCGACGGTCTCGCATCCTTGGTTTAAGTTCCCTTGGCTGATGGCGGGGAAACGGGGTACAATTCCGGGGCCAATTCTCACCCCACCTTCAGCAAGCCACCTTTGCGCATGCGTAACGTCTCGGACCTGATTCTGGCCGGGTGCGGCCCACGCATGCGCAGATTTTCGGGGCGCTACCGGGGCGGGGCCCTAAACCTGGGGGGAGGGGGGGTCGTCCCTGAAGGCACTCTGGGAAATTCCATTTGACCCTCAACTCCGCTCACAACCCTCAGAGGCGAACCGCGAGGTCTCACCATTCCTAGGCTGCCAGCTCCAACAATTTCTCCGCGGCGACGGCAGCAGCCGCAGGGCCAAACCCAGTTTCCGTGAGGTACGTCTACTTCCGGGCCTACGAAACACCGGCTGAACAATCCCTTCCGGTTCGTCCAGAGCACAGGCGTGAAGGGGGCGTGGCCATGGCTGCGGAGGTGTCGCTATTTTGCTAACAGGTGAAATCAAAGATTCTCCCAAAAGGGAAACATCAGGGATTATAGGCGCCAGAGTGGTTACCGATTGAGGGGAGCGACTAAAGGGAGAGACGAGACTTGGGGCGGGATAAGCAGAGAGGCGAAACCAAGCTGGGCGAGATGGGGTGATCCTGGAAAGGGCGCGGGCCGCGCGCGGATTGGGTTTGGGTTTACGAATTCGCACGAAAAGTAGTCGTCCTTGATAGTTTCCCAGGACCAGTTATACATTGTTTGATTCGACCAGAGGTTTTAGAGAAACTGTGCTGTCAGGCCCTGTGCTAGGCACATGACAGGGAGATGATGAGGAGCTCCCAGAGAGATGAGGTACAAAAGGGGCAGGGAGGTTGATGTCTATGGGACGGGTGGGCCGCCTTCCTAGAAGGTAGAGGCGCTGGGAGAAGGAGCGGTGCCCAGGGGGTCAGGTCAGCCCAATCCCACCTGGACTGCTGGAGGCTTTGTGGGTCCCGGGTGGTAAGAGAGAAGACCAATGGAAACACCTTCGGAGGGGAGTGCCCTAGAGGGAAACTTGGGATGGGAGAACAGGCCTACAGGAAAAGTTGGGGGTGTAAGGGCTGTCCTGGGAAACCAGAAAGACTGTGCTGTGAAAGTGGATTACTATCACTCTTTCCATTTCTTCACAGCTGTTAGGATATTCCTATTAAAATGGAAATCCACTCATGTCAAACCTCTGTTCAAAATCCTCCATCTTCCTTGGAATAAAAACTCATGGTCTAGTCCCAATTACCTCTCTGACTTCGTATCCTGCTCCTCTCACTTGCCCTTTTAAAAATTAGTCCATATTCCCTGCGCTCTTTACCCCTTCCATGCTTGTTTTTCTCCTTAGCCCTTATTATCCTTTAATGTATGATGTATTTTACTTATTTTTTTCTGTTTATTGTATGTCCCTCAGCAGTGGAATGTAAGCTCTATGAGAGCAGGGTTTTTTTGTCTGTTTTGTTCACTGCTATAGTAGGTGCTTAATAAAAATTTGAGTGTGTGGGGTTTTTTTAAATTTAATTATTGATTTGAGAGTGAGGAAGGGAGGGAGGGAGGGAGG